GTTGTCCATAGGAAAATGGTGCTTCATAGGCATATTTTGTTGCGGTTTTATTTCTCAACGGGTTTAGAGGCCTATTTTTTGGCTCCATTTTTTATGCCTTTTTAACTACTAGTGAAAGACTCGATTTGTATGTCGGAAAGTTTGAACTGCATAAATTACTCATTCTTTTGAGCGGGTCATTTATGTGCTAGAATTTGACTCAGCTACTTTTTTCTTCCGATCTGGTTTTTTTTTTTTCAGTTTTTAAGAGCCATTTGTTTCATTTTTTTTTCAGATCAACAGTCTGATAGCGCAGCTGGCTGATGCGAACCGAGATACACTTGATCAGCAGAACAGTACTTCACTGCTAAATGAAAATAAAGCGCTGAAAAGCCAAATTGACGATATCCTGGTTCGTATTTTATTTTAAAATAGATATGATTATGATGCAGCTGCATTTTTTTCCGCATGCGCAATACCCCCCTTATGTCGAGAGCATCAATAAATTTTTATATTTTGTACAAATTTTATAAATTTTATATTTTGTATCTACCAACGGCACTCATCACTTGAAGTTGCGTCGCAGCGTTGGTCCTAATTGCAAAAAGCGTTTTTGACCCATTTTCGAATTCTTTGTAAATTGACAAAAATAACATAACTACTTCGGCAGGTTATCCAATCGCAATTAAATACGGATGTGCATCACCTACAGGAGGAATTGCGACGTAAGGAGACTGAACTGGGGAATGCACAAGATGAGTCTAAAAGGCTTCGATTTCTCATCGACAGCGAGAAATCACGTCTGCAAAATATTTTGGAGGAAACGCAGCGTGAGTTACAAATGAAATCTGCTGCACTTCAAAGCCTGATGCTTGTGAAACAGGTAAACAATTTAGGGTTTAAATCCGGTGTCCTGCTTTGATATCCATGCTAGTTCCATGAGCTTAGTTTTTATGCGTTTTTGCATATGTGCAAATTGTGTGCGTTTTTGCTCGCACTTTTTGTCAGCCACTTTCTATTCAAGAGCCAGAAAAGCTAGAAGTCTGAAACTCTGGGAGTATGTGCCCACACCATGCGCGACCTTCTCGTTTTGATATCATCGTCGGTCTACATCTGGGTGCCAAGTACGGACGTCTTAAAAAAAATATGCAAATTTTTTGGCGGGAAAGCAATCTTGGAAACCAGATAAGGTAAAGGGCTGAAACTTTGCAAGGATGTTCCCTGTGCGTCTTTGAGCTAAAGATTTCAAATTCAGCTTTCAGGTATGTATGGCACTTACGTACTGGCGTGTGAAAGTTTTGGCGGGGAAACTACTAACTCAAGAACCAGAAAAGCTAAAAAGCTGGAATTTTAGAGTAATGTTCCCTATCCAAATACAGTTCAATTATTCCAAGCTCAGCCCTCAGGTACGCTTGCTCCTCACGTATAGGTACTTAAAAGTTTTGGCGAGAAAATT